GTGGTAGTAGTAGTAGTAGTAGTAGTAGTAGTAGTTGGAGTAGGAGTAGGAGTAGGAGTAGGAGTAGGAGTAGGAGTAGGATTAGTAGGTGTAGTAGTAGTAGCAGTAGTAGTAGTAGTAGTAGTAGTAATAGTCGAAGTACTCGTAGTAGTAGTAGTAGTAGTGGTAATTGTAGCATTAGTAGTAGTAGTAGTAGTAGTAGTAGTAGTAGTAGTAGTAGTAGTAGATGTAGTAGTCGTAGCAGCACTAGTACGAGTACTTGTAGCATTAGTAGTAGTAGTAGTAGTAGTAGTAGTAGTAGTAGTAGTAGTATTAATTTTATTAGTCGTAGTAGTAGTAGTAGTAGTAGTAGTAGTAGTAGTAGGAGTAGTAGTAGTAGTAGTAGTAGTAGTCGTAGTATTAGTAGTAGTAGTTGTTGTAGAAGTAGTAGTAGAACTAGTAGTAGTAGCAGCAGCAGCAGTAGTAGTAGTAGTAATAGTAGTAGTTGTAGTACTGGCAGTCGTAGTAGTAGTCGTAGCAGTAGTAGCAGGTGTAGTAGTCGCAGTAGTAGTAGTAGTGGCAGTAGGGAGTAGTGGCGGTATGAGCAGTAGTAGGAGCAGCAGTGGCAGTCGTAGGAATAGCAGCAGCAGCTGCAGCATCAGTAGTGATTCTCGCCGTAGTAGTAGTAGCAGTCGCAGTAGTAGTAGCAGTAGTAGTAATCGTCGTAGTTGTAGTATTCGTAGTAGCAATAGTCGTAGTAGTAGTAGTAGTAGTCGCAGTAGTAGTCGTAGTAGTAGTAGTAGTAGCAGTAGTAGCAGTGATAGTAGTCGTAGTAGTAGTAGTAGTAGTAGTAGTAGTAGTAGTAGTAGTAGTAGTGGTAGTAGTAGTAGTAGTAGTAGTAGTAGTAGTCGCAGTATTCGTAGAAGTAGTAGCAGCAGTCGTAGCAGTAGTAGTAGTTGTAGTAGTAGTGGTTGTTAGTAGGTGTAGTATTTTGTAGATGGGGGTGGGTAGTTGTTGGAGTAGCAGTAGTAAGTTGTAGTCGTCGTAGTGGTCGTAGTGGTGGCTTGGTAGTAGCTGTAGTAGTAAGTTGCAGGTGTAGGAGGTGGTTGAAGTTCATCTGGTCGTCAGTCATAGGTTAGTAGTCGTCGTAGAAGTTGTAGTTCCGTATTCGTAGCTGCAGTTATGTAGTTAGTAGTAGTTGTAGTTAGTAGTAGGTAGTACTAGTCTAGTAGTCGTAGTAGTAGTAGTAGTAGTAGTTGTAGTAGTAGTTTGTAGTACTAGTGTAGTTGGTAGTGTTGTAGTCAGTAGTTAGTAGTAGTAGTAGTAGTAGTAGTAAGTAGTTGTAGTAGTAGCTAGGTTCCCAGTTTGCAGCAGTAGTAGTAGCAGTAGTAGTAGTGCCTCCTTTCCTTCCCGCACTAGATTTCTCGTCGTCGTCGTTGTTGTTGTTTTGTTGTTGTCGTAGTGATCGTCGTAAAAGTTGTCGTAGGAGGAGGGGGAGGAGGAGGAGGAGGAGGGGGAGGAGGAGGAGGAGCAGGAGGAGGAGGAGGAGGAGGTTCAGCATATTCAGGCGTGATGAAGGAGGCTCCTCGACTCTGGAGCTCACCGCTGCCCTCCGCGGGGCCCCTGGCGCCTCGGGACGCGAAGAAGGATAATAATAGCATGATCAATGCCAAGAACAATGAGACGAATCAGATGAAGAAGAAGAAGACGAAGACGAAGGAGAGGAAGGTGCGGAGGAGGAACGAGACGATTAAATGGATGTGTCAGACGGGGGCGGTGAACGTCGTGACGACTCGCCGCTCTCCTAGGAGCTCTCTCCCAAAGATGGGGAGGTGCGGTACGGACCCCCCGAAGAGGCGTACTCACCCTGCTCCCCTCGGAAGTCTTAGCCGCGGTACTGGCCCTCCGAAGAGGCGCGGTCGCGCTGGTCAGGCCAGCCCACCGCGATGACCAACTCTGTCAAGACCATTGGCAGGCTGGTGGGTCAGGCAGGCTGAGCAGACATCACCGTGCCGCAGTCTGAAGCACCCGCGCAGAAGACCAGCGACCAGACTCGCAGCGGCGGTCCGACCTGCCCGGCCCAGGCACCGCCGCTGCCGCCAAGCTGGCGCCGCCGACCAGGCCAGCCAGCGCCAGGCGAAGTCCCGGCAAGGGCTGAGGGGCAAACTGGAGGTCCAGCAGCAGCGAGAGCGGCCTCGGAAGCGTAAGGCTCCTCCATGGCGGCCGCGATCCCCGCAGCAGCTGGTTGACGCTCGGTCGGCGCGCGCGGTGGGGCGCGCCCTCCCGCACGGACCTCGCCGCCGAGAGTCCGCTCGCCTCCCCGGCGCCTCCGACTCCTCCCACGTCCGCCACCTCGTCCAGGGCGGACCCGCCCACGAGGGCCAGCTCGCTAGCTCTCACCCCGCGCGCGAGCAAGGCGACGTCGGCCTCCCGGCTGCGGCCTGCAGCGCTGCAGGCCCAGCCGCGAGGCCTGCCGCCTCAACGTCGCGCCCACTGGGACGGGGGGCGGCGGCCGCCGCCTCGGGAGCTGCACCACGAACATCTGAGCCAAAGGGCGAAGTCCACGGGCCGCGGAAGTGGAACCTCTTCCTCCTCCTCTTCCTCCTCCTCCTCCTCCTCCTCCTGCTGCTGGCCAGTCGCGACCCTGAGCGCAGCGGCCAGGGCGGCGCTGATGCGGGTGGGCGCCACACCCCTGTGCGAGCGCAGTGCCTCGGAGGCGCCGACGAGGAGGCGAGCGGCCGCACGAGCTTCGGCCCTGCGGTGCTGCTCGCGCCCCCCAGCAGCCGACCGCTTGGGCCGACGGCGCCGCGGTTGCGCGGGCGGCCGAGGCGCGGACATGGGGAGAACCGCGGAGGATCAACCGATGATGATGATGATGATGATGATGATGATGATGATGATGATGATGATGATGATGATGATGATGATGATGATGATGATGATGATGATGATGATGATGATGATGATGATGATGATGATGATGATGATGATGATGATGATGTTGGTGGTGGTGGTGGTGGTGGTGATGATGATGATGATGATGATGATGATGTTGGTGGTGGTGGTGGTGGTGGTTTATGGGGGTGGTTATGGTGGTGAGGAAGGAGGAGGAGGAGGGAGGAGGAGGAGGAGGAGGAGTGGAGGAGGAGGAGGAGAGAGGAGGAGGGCGGAGGAGGGAGGGGAGAGGGAGCGGAGGAGGGAGGATGAGGATAATGATGAGGATGATGAGGATGACGATGATGATGATGATGAGGATGATGATGATGATGATGATGATGATGATGATGATGATGATGATGATGATGATGATGATGATGATGATGAGGATGATGATGATGAGGAGGAGGAGGAGGAGGAGGAGGAGGAGAAGCAGGAGGAGGTCGAAGAGGAGGAGGAGGAGGAGGAGGAGGAGGAGGAGGAGGACGAGGAGGAGGAGGAGGAGGAGGAGGCAGGAGGAGGGGGGGGAGTGGGGAGGAGGTTGAGGAGGATCCGACTGCGATGGCATGGCAGCGATGATTGCACCAGCGACAGCAATCGAGCAAGGGTGGAGGAGGAGGCGGAGGAGGGAGGGAAAGGGAGGAGGAGAAAGGCGGGGAAGGAGGGTGGGTGGGTAGGAGGAGGAGGAGGAGGGGAGGTGGCCGGAGGAGGGAGGCAGGAGGAGGGGAGGAGGTGGAGCTGGTGCTGGAGCTAGAGCTGGAGGTCGAGGAGAGGAGGGGTGGAGGAGGAGGAGGAGGAGGAGGAGGAGGACGACGACGAGGACGAGGATGAGGAGGTTGGGATGAAGACGAGGATAAGGAGGATGAGGAGGAGGAGGAGGAGGAGGAGGCGGACGAGGAGAATGAGAAGGAGGAAGAGGATGAGGAGAAGGAGGAGGGGAGCAGCAGCAGCGACAGCAGCAGGATCCTCACGTTAGAGGAGTCAGATATTGGATGGGCAGCAAAGGTGAGAGGGAGGGGCAGTAGATAGGACGGCTGAGGGGCACTCACGTCTGGCCCGCGCCCTGGCCACTCCCACCCAGCGCTGCCAGAGATATGATGATGATGATAATAATAATAATGATGATGATGATGATGATGATGATGACAATGCTAATGATGATGATGATGATGATGATGATGATGATGATGATGATGATGATGATGATGATGATGATGATGATGATTATGATGATGATGTGATGCTGATGATGATATGATGAGATACAGGATGATGAGATGTGATGAGATGATGATGATGCTGATGCTGATGATGTGATGAGATGCTGATGATGATGATGATGATGATGATGATGATGATGATGATGATGATGATGCTGATGTGATGCTGGATGCTGATGCTGATGTGATGCTTCTTCTTTCTGAGTGTTATTAGTAGTAGTAGTAGTAGTAGTAGTAGTAGTAGTAGTAGTAGTAGTAGTAGTAGTAGTAGTAGTAGTAGTAGTAGTAGTAGTAGTAGTAGTAGTAGTAGGAGGAGGATGAGGAGGAGTTGGAGGAGTTGGAGAAGGAGGAAGACGAGGGGGAGAAGGAGGGAGGGGAAGGAGGAGGCGGAGGAGGATGGTTTGGATGAGGAGGAGAAAGAGTAGAGTAGCATCAATAGTTCGACTTGAAGGGGAAGGAGCAGGATGAGGCGGAGGAGGAAGAGGAGGAGAGGACCCCATTGCTCTGGTATGCGTCGTCCCCCTTGGCTTCTTGGCGTGTGTGGGGCGGACGGATGGGTAGACATTGGGAGACTGGCGGACGGGTGGAGGCGGGGAGGGCTGGAGGGACAGTGACCGACACATGGGGGAGGGAGCCTTGTCGAGCGTCGTCGCTCCTGCTCGACCGTGAGCTCAGCGGCCCCCTCCCTCGGGGGAGAAATTGGGCCCCCCTCCACGGCGGGACGCGGCTCGAAAAACTGGTCCGCTTCGACCCCGGGAGGGGCCTGGGGACCGATGTTGAGCGGATTTGCTTTCGCCCCCCCCTCTTGACCGATTCTCTCGGGGCCCATCCGGAGCAGACCCCGGCGCGCCACGGCATCCCGAGGAGCGCACGGACCTGGAGCGGGAGGTGCAGGAGCGCGTCCGGAAGCAGCTAGCGAAGGCTGCGGCCTGGCATCCGCCTCTTCGCAGGGGCATGCATACCTGGGGCGGGAGAGAACGAAGGCGAGTGGAGGGACACAGGGCGCAGGGAGACCGAAGGAGGAGGAGGAGGAGGAGGAGGAGGAGGAGGACCAGATGTAAAGCCAAGGTTCACCAACGGTATTGGAATAAACCCTCCCTCCTAGCGTCCTCTTCATAGGGCCCTAAAAGGTTTCATTTCCACTGAGGGACATACCTCGTTGGGAGACAACCGTTTGAAGACCCTGAAGCGTGCCAAAACGCCGTTCTGGGGACTCCAACGCCGTGAGTCAACTTGACTGTTGCGTGTTGACGATCCTGGGTCGTGCCAGAACACCATTCTTGGAACTTCACCGCCAATCGACGTAACTTTTGCGCCCTGGCAATCCTGATTCGCTTCAAAACACAATTACTGGGGCGTTAACCATGGGAATCCGTGAAACTCTTGCAACAATTTGAAGCGAATGCGCGCGGCGCTAAGGCGAGAGCCACATTTTGAAAGTGTACCGCCCTCCATCCGAGAAGCGCTTGCAACATTTTAGATTTATGTGCGCGGCGCTAATGCGAGAGTCACATTTGAAAACGACCCGCCCTCAATCCGTGAAGCTCTAACAAGTGTTTAAGACGAGCGCACGCGGCGCTATGGCGAGTCACATTTTGGAAGCGGCCCGCCCTCCATCCGCGAAGCTGCTGCCAATTGCTATTGAGCTTCAGGACCGTGAATGGTGAGGAAATCTCAGGCGAAACGCCCGGCCCGCCCTTGGTTTGGAGGAGGAGGAGGAGGAGGAGGAGGAGGAGGAGGAGGAGGAGCATCAGGAGAAGGAGGAGGCGGACTCTTTGGAGGATCGTGGGGCAGCAGTATGATGGTGAACAGTCTGACGAGGACGGTCAGGAAAAGGATTATAATGATGATTGGGAGGGCCAGCAGCAGGAGCAGAGGGAAGATAACGATATTGATATTTGAAAGAGCGTGTTCTACCGCTGCTGGCGGAAAACCGGGGGGGGTCACTACCGGTTCGAACCCCTCCCCCCCCCCCCTGGGGGGGTCACTACCGGTTCGAAATCCCCCCCCCCCCTCAAACTCGAAAACATCCGGGGGGGCACTACCGGTTCGAACCCCTTCCCCCCCCCCCCGCCCCCTCGAATTCGAAAACCGAGGGGGGTGCGGACAGTGGTGGGGACGGTGGTGGTGGGGACAGTGGTGAGGGGACAGCGGGACAGTGGTGGGGACAGTGGGACAGTGGTGGGGACGGTAGTGGTGGGGACAATGGTGAGGACAATGGTGGGAACAGTGGGGACAGTGGGACAGTGGTGGGGACGGTGGTGGTGGGGACAGTGGTGTGGGGACAGTGGGAATGTGGTGGAAACAGTAGGACAGTGGAGGGTACAGTGGTGGGTGGGGACAGTGGTGAAGGCGGTGGCGAGGACGGCGGTGGGACAATGGGACAGAGGTACAGTGGGGACAGTGGTGGGGACAGTGGGGACAGTGGTGGGAACAGTGGGACAGCTCAGTGGTTCGAACCGGTAGTGACCCCCCCCTCTGGTTTTCGAGGGGGGGGGGGGTTCGAACCGGTAGTGACCCCCCCCGGTTTCGAGTTCGAGGGGGGGGGGGGTTAGGGGAGGGGGGGTTTTGCCGTGGGGGGAATTTTCGGAGGGGTTGGGGACTCCCGGGTTCTGGAGGAAAAGGGCGGCAATTTTCAACAGTAAAGCGGCGGTGGATCACGCTCTCTCTCTCTCTCTCTGATATTTACATACCTATACGACCTTCGGGTGATAAGGAGGTTCGGGGGGGGGAGGAACCAACGTCTCACTCGATCGGTCTCACTATCGATCTCACTATCGATCTCAGTATCGGTCTCGCTCGATCGATCTCCCTCGATCGATCTCACAATCGATCTCACTCGATCTATCTCACAATTGATCTGACTATCGATCTCACAATCGTTCTCACAATCGATATCACATTCGGTCTCACTATCGATCTCACGACCGATATCACAACCGCTGTTACAATCAACGTCATCATCATCAACAACATCAACAACATCATCATCACCAACATCATCATAATCGGGACACCGTCCTCATCATCAACACCAACATCATCATCATCATCATCACCACGGTCATCAACATCATCGGGACACAACGATCATCATCATCATCACCATCATCACAATCATCATCATCATCATCATCATCAACATCATCATCATCAGCAGCATCGGGACACAGTCATCGTCATCATCATCAGCAGCAGTATCATCATCGGGACACCATCATGATCACCATCGTTATCATCATCATCATCATCATCATCGGGACACCATCATCATCATCATCTCATCCTTATCATCGACATCATCATCATCAGCATCATCAACATCACCATGAGCATCATCATCATCATCGTCATCATCGGGGCACCATCATCATCATTACCAACATCAGCATCAACATCATCATCATCATCATCATCACCATCGGGACGCCATCATCATCAACATCATCATCATCACCATCAGAAAAATCATCATCATCGGGACGCCATAATCATCATCAACCTCATCATCATCAACATCATCATCATCGGGACACAATCATACACAGCATCATCAACATCAACATCATCATACTCATCATCATCATCGGGACACCATCATCGTCATCATCATGATCATCAACATAATCATCATGATCATCATCATGATCATCATCATCATCCTCATCATCGGGACACCATCAGCATCATCATCATCATCGTCATCATCATCATCATCATCGACATCATCATCATCATCATCATCATCGGGACACCATCATCATCATATCATCATCATCATCGTCATCATCATGATCATCGTCCTCATCATCATCATCATCACCATCAGCATCACCATCATCATCATCATCGTCATCATCATCATCAGCAGCATCATCATCATCAGCATCACCATCATCATCATCATCATCATCATCATCATCATCATCATCATCTCATCATCACAATCATCATCATCATCATCATCATCATCATCATCATCATCATCATCATCATCATCATCATCATCGCGGGACACCGCGGGACCCCAGCGGGACACCGCGGGGCACCGCGGGACACCGCGGGACACCGCGGGACACCAGCGGAACACTAGCGGGACACCGCGGGCCACCGGCCGCCCGGAAGGGAGACATTTGGTCCGGCCGCGCCTCAGCCACACGGGACACCAGCGGAACACTAGCGGGACACCGCGGGCCACCGGCCTCCCGGAAGGAAGTCATTTGGTCCGGCCGCGCCTCAGCCACAGGAGACTTTCTCTCGCCCGCCCACGCAGCTTCGCCTCGCCCCCGCACGGCACGCACGAACACGAAACCGAAATCGATTTCCGGTATGGGGCTCTCGTTCCACTGCGGTCTCGACCCCTCACTCTCCTATATATATATATTATATATATATATTATATATATATCTAGATGCACATATACACACATACCTACCTATCTATCTACCGACCTACCTACCTACATACATACATACAGACATACATACATACATATAGGAAAGATTGCATTAGCGCTACGGGCCATGCACCTTGGTCCTTCGAGCTTCGTGCATGCATGCGGCGACGAGAACGCCAGAGGCTTTCCCTCAGGGCCATAACGCGCGTTATGCCCCCGCTTCCCACCCCCCAATGCCGTAACGCTTGCCCCCCCAGAGCGTCCCCAGCACTGCCGCAGTGCATCTGGCACCACAGTCTGTGGTGCCGACCCACACGGCGGGGGGGACGTGACGTTATGCCCCCCACCCGCCGCCCCCCCTCCTCCCCCCATATTCCCGTTACCGCCGCGAATAAGAAAAATGCTCTCGATCGTCGAACCTCGAACCTTGATCCTTTGCCGTCGTTTGTCGAGGTGAAAGGAGGAGGTTTTCGGAAGTCGCAGAGGGGCTTGAACGTTTCCAGCTCGTCTGGGGCTTCTGGGATCTAGAGGAGGGCCTCCGAAAGTCACCGCAGGACGCGAGAAACGGTTAGGAGGAAGGAGGAGGGAGGAGATGGAGAGGAAGGCGAGGGGAGGAGCGGGAGGAGGAGGAAGAGGTGGTGTAGGAGGAGGGCGCTGTCGGGGAGAGGTGATGTGGCTTCTCGAGGTCGTCTTGAAGGTCCTTTTTGAAGCTTCTTGGACCGTCTCGGGGCCCATTTCGGGCCGTCCTGAGGCCCTCTTGGGCCATCTTGGGGGGCGAGGGCCTTCTGGAAGCCGTATTGGGGCCATCGTGGGCCCTCTTGGAAGCTTCCTATGGCCCTCTTGGGCCTGTCTTGGGAGTACTTTGGGGGTCTCTTGTGACCTATTTGGATCGTTTTGGGGTTCACTAGGGCAGTCTTTGGGCCGTCTGGGGGCGCTCTTGGGGGCCTCTTGGGGCGATCTCGGGACCTCTTGGGCGGTCTTGAACGCTGCCAAGACTGAAGAAGCGCTTATGCCCAAAATGCATGTCTCTTGAGGGAACTAAAAGAACTGTGCTTTGGGCAGGTCCTTTTCAAGACCTCTTGGGGCATCTCGGGGACCAGTTGGACCGTCTTGCTGACATCTAGGTCCCTCTTGGGACTCTCCTAGGACGTCTCCAGGCCCTCTTGGACAGGTTCAGGGCCTCATGGCACCGCCGGTAGGCCGTTCGCACGGGCTGGGAGGGATCCTCAAATGCCCAGAAATCCCTGGTGACCCTGTCAAGGAGCGCGCAAAAGGCCCGTAGGACCAGGGATCGAGGGGGTCCCGTTTAAGGGGGGGTCGCAGGGTTCCACTCAATATTTATATATATGTACATATGAAATACAGAATGGTTATATATACATAGAGATACATACACATATGTGTACACATACATATGTAAGGAGAGAAGGAGAGAAAGAGAGAGAGAGAGAGAGGAGAGACGGAGGGGAAGATGAGGAAAGTGGAATGGCTGGTTGGCGCGGCGTGAGTGCCGCGAGGAGTAGGAGGAGGAGGAGGAGGAGGAGGAGGAGGAGGAGGAGGCGGAGGAGGAGGAGGAGGAGGAGGAGGAGGAGGAGGAGGCGGAGAAAGAGCAGCAGTAGGTGCAGCAGCAGCAGGGAGCGCCAGCACGATGGTGAGGAGAATGATGGTGTGACGCCTGCCCCTGTGGAGGCCAGCGAGGCGAAGGCCGACGGTGCCGGTGCCGCGGAGGAGGCCCTCGCCCCCGCTCGCTCCCCGCGGCTGCACCGCCCTCTCGCGCGGCCTGGCGACGCCCCACCGCTCTGTCGGGGGAGCGTCCTCCTCCTCCTCCTCCTCCTCCTCCTCCTCTCCTCCTCCTCTTTCTCTTCCTCTTTCTCCTCGTCGTCCTCCTCCTCCTCTTTCTCCTCCTCCTCCTCCTCTTTCTCCCCGTCCTCCTCCTCCTCCTCTGTCTCCTCCTCCTCCTCGTCTTTCTCCTCCTCCTCCTCCTCCTCCTCCTCCTCCTCCTCCTCCTCTTCCTCCTCCTCGTCCTCTATGAAATGGCTCTCCTTGTCGCAACCCCAGACGTGTCGGTGCGGCGGCCCGGAGTTTTGCCGGGGATTCTGTCGTCGTTTATGATCATGACGCCTGAAATTCGCAACATCTCCTTTCAGCGCCGCGCACCCTCGATTTTTGTCATTTGCAGCAGCTTCACGGATGGAGGGCAGCTGCTTTTCAAAATGTGGCTCTCGTGCCAGCGCCGCGCGCACCGGTTTGAAAGTTCACAGCAGTTTCAAGGATTTCGTACGGTCGAAGTCCCAGAAATTATGTTCTGGCATGACTTATGGTTGTCTGGACGCAACGGTCGCACTGATTCGCGGTGTTGATGTCCCAGGAAAGGTGTTTTCGCACGGTTAAGAATTGTCAGGGCGCAACAGTCACGTGGATCCGTGGCGTTGAGGTCGCAGGAGCAGCGTTTTTGGCACGATTGAGGATTATCAGACGATTGTCTTCTAATTGACCACTCCCCGCAATGAATAAATATAATTCCAGGGACTTGTAAAGAGCGAACTTGGAGGGAGGGTTCAGTGCAATATCGTTGACGCACATTGGGCTTACACTTGTACTCCTCTTTCCCCTCCTCCCACCCCCGCCTGCAGATCGCTCCCACCCGCCCATGTGGGCTTCACTTCTTCAGACGACACTATAACATCCACTCTCTCTTTCGGATGCGTGGCGCGTCCATGATGTTTCTTCTCGGCTGGCTTTCGCGGACATTGTGCTGTGCCCTGGGACTCAAGCCCGTCGGCGTGCGGGTGACCCCGTGACCGTGTCGAAGACGGCCAAACACATCCACCTCTCGTTCGGCTGGCAAGGAGGATCGATGACTAACAAGAGCGCGGGCTGCAGTATCTTGCTCAGGTCACGCGCCTTCAGAAGGTGCCACATCCAAGAAATCATCGAGCCCCCACGGGACCTCAGAGGCCGAGGAGGAGCCGTTCGCCTTCGCAGCTCGTATTTTGACATCCTTGCGATCACGGCGTACTACCCGCCGCCCCAGCGTCACCAAGTGGACTCCTGGAAGGCGACCGTGGCCAAGCTCACGCAGTGGATCCACCAGACGGTCCAGGCCGCCCCGAGGCGCGCACTGGTGCTCATAGGAGCCGACACGAATTCGGGCTTCGGCAAGACGGCGGCCCTCCAAGGGATGCCCTGCTTCACGGCTGACGACCTGCACACGGGCAGACATCAGATGGCCTTCGAGAACTATACGACGTCCGAGCTCTGGCGCGTCATGCGCATGGAGGGCCTCTCGGCGATCGACACATTCTTTGCGACAGGGCCGACTTACTTCGGCCAGGAGGATCACCACCGCTCGAACCCAGATCATTTCTTCGCGCCGTGCGCCACGGTGCCGCAGACTGTCTCGTGCTGCACGCTGCGTTCGGCCATGAGAGACCTGCAGAAGATCCCTCATGCGGCCCCTCGCGATCATTGCCCGCTTCTCTGGCGCCTACACTACAGGCTCCACTTTGAGCCGCCGCAGGAAGTGGAGCCTCTCTGGGACTACGACCAGGTCGCCGCACTCCTCCAGCATGAGGGGGACCTTACTTTCGTGGCGGAGATAGAGCGCATGTCCGAGCGCCATGCGGGTGTTTGGAAGCAGCAGGCTCGCACAGATGACCCGTCGAAGGCCTGGCAGTCGTTGGCGGAGGACGTTCGAGCGGCAGCACACGAAGCCTGTGAGTTACCCGCTGCAGCTGGCCCTTCTCGCACTTACAGAGAGCTTCGTGACACCTTGTTGGCTAAGAGGCGGACTCTGGGACGGCGATGCTTCAGCGAGGAGGATCGACTGGCTGCGCGGGCTTGTGAGCGCGAGATCAGGCGAACGAGAAAGCGATTGGATGCAGAACATGTCGAGTCTCTCCTACGTGAAGCTGTTCGTGCATCCGAGAGGGGTCACACCAACGCCGTGTGGCGGCTCGCCTATCAGATTGGTGCCAGGTACCATGGTGTCCGCCGTCGTCGCTTCAACACCTTGCCGCACTACCAGCCTACGATTGATGAGTGGACTGAGACGATGCAGGCTCCTGCAGCTGCTGGTGGTCTCTCTGCAGTGCAGGTCCTTGAGCCCGAGTTCCCCGCGGAGGTGGCGTTGGCCCTTCGCGCCCAGGATGACCCTGATGGCGAGTGGAAGGCTGTTCGAGGGCATCCCGGTGATGCAGCTTATGAGGACTGGACCTACACCCTCCAGGCGCTGAAGCGAGCAGCGCGGCGCCGCTTCGCGCCGACCCACTCAGCCCCCGCTGAGGTCTGGCTCGCTCTGTTGCAGGCAGCGACCCGAGAGCGCCGTGGCGAAGGTCAGGTCCCTGATGATGAGGGTCGTCCTGGTCCTCGTCGCAGACAGCCTCGCCATGTTCTTCGTCCGCGAGTTTGTGAGAGGCTGCTTGGCCTTTTTCGACAGATTCGCCTGTCTTGCCGCACGCCCGCCTGGTGGCACTGGTCCAGGACATTCCAGTTGGACAAGAGGGAATGATAAGAGGAGTACGAAGGCGATGAGGCTGATTCATTGTTGCTGCCCTGTTGGCAAGGCCTGGTACCGCGGGCTTTTCGCGAGATTTCGCAAGCCCCCCCTGCCGCACCGCGCGCACGGGTACGCCAAGAACAGATCCAGACAAGGGGCCCAACTGGTTTCTCGGGTGCACTCCTGGCGCCTCAAGAAGCTCCAAATTAGCCACCTCCAGCTCAAAAAGGACATGAATAACGCTTTCCCGAGCACGAATCACGAGACCCTCGAGCAAGTTGCAGGAGAAATCACCCCCGACATTCGGGCCCAGGGCTACTTTCTCCAGAGGCACAAGGAGGCGGTCATGGAAATCCGATCTGGCACCGAAAAGGCTTTCTATGTACGTAGGCGCGGCGCTGGCATGGGGGACGGCAATGCGTGTGAGTTGTTTTGTGCGGTCCTTCGTCCGCCCGCTCGAGTCTTGGAACGGCGAGCTGCGAGACAAGGCCGACACCTCGCTCGAGACAGTGCGAGGCGAAGTGCCGTTGCTAGAGGCTACGACGCTGATCTCTTGCCCCGTGTCCTCGTCCCTTGTCGGCCTCCCCCTCCGTGACTACGCCGACGACGTGTCGCAGACGCTCCCCTCGCCCGATTGCAATCCTTTTCGCGCTGCGAGCTTCGCCAAGGCATCTCATACACGCAACGGCGCACCGTGTCCGAGGGCCCGGGGCCGGGACCCCGACCACAAATGTGGGCTCCGGGGGGCCTGGAGGCTCGTCGGGCCGCCGGGCGCCGTCCAAGATCGTTCGCAGGCGGCTTCGAAACGCGCTCCGATGGTCCAGATGCCTTCCAAGACGCCTGTCATGACACCAAGAAGGTCCCAGAAGCCTCCAAGACGCTCCGAGAGGCAGCCCAAGAGAGGCCCAAGAAGCACAAATCGTGTCATTCCTATGGGAAAACGTATATGTGTCGCATGTTCGCCTCTTGGGTTTTCACCGCGTCCAAGACGGCCCAAGAGGCGCCCAAGACGGTCTACGAGGCCTCCGGGAGCGCTCCAAGGCTGCGCACGAGTGTCCCAGGACGGCCCCAAGACGGCCGAAGAGAGCCCCAAGACGAGTTCGAGAGGGGTCCCAGACGGAGAAAGCCAACCTCGAATTCCGAGCTTCCGGCCCAAGAGGCTCCAGGAGGCGCCAAAATGCCGCCAAGAGGCGCCAAAAGGCTCCCCAAAGCACCCCAAGACGTTCCGAGAGGCACCCCAAGAGAGGTCCAAGAAACAAAAATCGTGCCATTCCTATGGGAAAACGTATATTTTTCGCATGTTCGCATCTTGGGCTTTCACCGCGTCCAAGACGGCCCAAGAGGCCTCCAAGACGGCCTAGGAGGCCTCCGGGAGCGCTCCAAGGCTGCGCACGAGCGGCTCAGGACGGCCCCAAGACGGCCCAAGAGAACCCCAAGACGACTTCGAGAGGGGTCCCAGAAGGAGAAAGCCACTCTCGAATTCCGAGCTTCCGGCCCAACATATCCCAGGAGGCGCCAAAACGCCACCCAGAGGCGCCAAAAGGCTTCCAAAATCAGCCCAAGACGTTCCGAGAGGCAGCCCAAGAGGTCCAAGAAACAAAAATTGTGTCATTCCCATGGGAAAACGTATATTTTTCGCATGTTCGCATCTTGGGCTTTCACCGTGTCCAAGACGGCCCAAGAGGCCTCCAAGACCGCCCCAAGAAAGAAGCTTCCAAGAGGGCCCCAGGACAGCCCAAGAGGGCCCCAAGACGGCCCAAGAGGCGCCTAAGACGGCCCAAGAGGGCCCCAAGACGGGCCCAAGAGGGGGCCCAGAGGGGGACCACGAACCGCAAGCTCGAGCCTTCCGCCCCAAGAGGCCGCCAGGAGGCCCCAAGGAGGCCCCTCAAGAGGCCCCAGGAGACCCCCAAGAGGCCCAAAGGAGGCCCCGAGAAGCCCCAAATCGGCCCCCAAAATGCTTCGAACCTGCTTCCAGGAGGCCCCCGACAGGTTAAGAGGCTCCCGAGAAGCTACGTCAAACCCCCAGCGAGCGGCCGGACGAGGCCCCCCATAAAATCACAAGAGGGTTTCAGTATTTGTATCCTTCAGCGCTCTCTGGCCTTCTTCCCACTGCCCCCTTCCCTGCGACTTTCGTTGACTCAAGCTCGCCTCCTAGCTAGAACCTGAGCGCGCGCGAAGCGCGCGCGTGGTTCTAGTCAGATCTACTCGCTCGTAAGCTTCTGGAGCAAGGGGG